GGGTTCCAGGAGGCCTGCAATATGGTCCCGCTGACAGTCGTTCCGCGTGAGGCATCTTCCGGAAATTGACACTTCGAAGTAGTCGTTTGTCAAAGATTGCCTCTTGGCTAAAGAAAGCTCGAGGGGTTCTCCAAGCGGGCCTTTCGCGCGAGGCATCCGGCGACCATTGGAGACTTCGAGGTTCGAAAGAGCGCGCTCTGTGGGCGCTTGGAGGGGGGGGGATGTTTGGAACCGGACCTCCTCCTCCTCCTCCTCGTCGTCCTCCTCCTCCTCCTCCTCCTCCTCCTCCTCCTCCTCCTCCTCCTCCTCCTCCTCCTCCTCCTCCTCCTCCCCCCCCCTGGATTGAAGGAGGGGGGAGGTTCGAACCCCCCCCCCTCTCCGGTGACGAAGGGGGGGGGAGGGTTCCCCCCCCCCTACTTCTCCTCCCCCCAGGGCGTCGATGAAGACGCCGACTTCCTTCTCTTGGCCGGCGCCGGCGCTTACGGCGGCTGGCGGCGGCGGCGGGGAGCGTCGATGAGGACGACGGCGACAACGATGACGACGACGACGACGACGCTGCGCCACTGTGCCTTGGTTTCGGGTCAGAGTGTTAATGGATGTCTCTTGGGGTCTCGTCGGAGGGCTCTCGGGGGCCTTTGAAGGGTATTTGTGAAGCCTCCTGTGCGCCTCTTGGACGTCTCTTGGGGCCTCTCTGAGATGGTGGTGGTGGTGGGCTGTGGTGGTGTGGTGGGTGGTGGGTGGTGGGTGGTGGTGGTGGTGGTTGGTGATGGGTTGTGGTGGTGGTGGTGGCGGTGGCGGTGGTGATGGTGGTGATGGTGGTGGTAGTGGTGTGGTTGTTTGTGGTGGTGATGGTTGTCGTGGTGGTTGTGGTGGGTTGTGGTGGGTTGTGGTGGTGGTGGTGCTGGTTTTGTGGTGGTGGTGTAGCGGTTTGTGGTGATGGTGGTGGTTGTGGTGGTGGTGGTGGTGGGTTATGCTGGTTGTGGTGGTGGTGGTGGCGGTGGTGGTAGTGGTGGTGGTGTGGTGGTGCGAGCACGACCGATCGCAACCACATCGGATCGATCGTAAACAACTTCGGTCGGAACGCAACCAGTTGCGATCGGTCCGAAGTGGTTGCGATGTTTCTGGGTCGTTTCAGTCAGGTTTTGATTAAGGAAGAGATCATAAGAGCGCTTCTTGGTTCAATGAGTTCCCCTCAGCCGACCAGTGGGAATCCGAAAAAGCGGTTGCGATCGGTTCGATCACAGACGGCCGATCATGATTTCAGCTAGACGCATGTGTTGGAGCTCGAACGGGCGCAATGATCCGCTTACGATTCCTATGTGATTCGTATACGGTTGAAACCGAAGCTGAACGAAAACGCCTGGCGTGAAACGAATTGCATCTCAGGAGGGGGAGGAGGAGGAGTAGGAGTAGGAGTAGGAGTAGGATTAGGAGGAGGAGGAGGAGGAGAAGGAGGAGGAGGAGGAGGAGGAGGAGGAGGAGGAGAAGAGGAGGAGGGAGGAGGAGGAGGCGGAAGAGGAGGAGAGGAGGAGGAGGAGGAGGAGGAGAAGTGAGGAGGAGGAGGAGGAAGGAAGAGGAAGGAGGAGGAGGACGAGGAGGAGGAGGACGAGGAGGAGGAGGAGGAGGTGGAGGGGGGGGGGGGGAGGAGGAGGAGGAGGAAGAGGAGGAGGAGGAGGAGGAGTTGGAGGAGGAGGAGGAGGATGAGGAGGAAGAAAGCAGAATAATAATAATAATAATAAGAAGAATAATAATAATATTAAGAATAATAATGCTAATAATAAGAAGAAGAATTATACTAATAATGAAAATAAGAATAAGAATACGAATCAGAAGAATAATACTAAGAGTAATAATAAGAATAATAAGAAGAATAAGAAGACGAAGATGAAGAAGAGGAGGAGGAGGAGGAGGAGGAGACGGAGCGGAGGAGGAGGAGAGGAAGGAGGAGGGGGAGGAGGAGGAGGAGGAGAGGAGGAGGAGGAGGAAGGAGGAGGAGGAGGAGGAGGAGGAGGAAGAGGAGGAAGAAGAAGACGAGAAGGAGCCAGACGAAGAAGACAATAAGACAACGCATACTAATAATCATTATTAGTAATAAGAAGAATCATACTACTACTACTAATAATAATAATAATACTACTACTACTAATAATAATACTACTACTAATAATAATAATATTATTAATAATAATAACAATAATAATAATAATCATAATACTAATAATACTAATACTAATACTAATACTAATAATAATAATAAGAATAAGGATACTAAAACTCATACAGATAATATGAATAATAATAATAATCAGAATAATAAGACTAATACTAATACTACTAAGAAGAAGTAAACTTAATAATATGAAGAGGAGGAGGAGGAGGAGGAGGAGGAGGAGGAGGAGGAGGAGGAGGCGGAGGAGAGAGGGAGGGAGGGAGGGAGGGAGGAACGCTTCATTGCATGGTCTTCTCATCCCTCGGCGAGGCTGGGCCTGGCCAGGGGTCGTCTAGTCTCTCGTCCGAGGTCGCCACCGAGCACTGCGACAGGTCAGCCGGGGCCACAGCAAACCAAAGCTCACCTGATCTGCTGCTGCGGGCTCGACGTGTACACACCACGCCGTCTTGTCGGCCAGGGCGCCAGGGAACTCGGCGGAGGAGTCTCGCACACAGGTCGGGGGCGGCAGAGAGGGGGTTGATGGGCAGGGTGGGTGGGTGGTGGACATCATGGCGGGGGCCATGATATCTCCCCAGATTTCGTAGCGCCTCTTCCTTTTTCAATGCGTCCCGGCCCTGGGCTGCGCACGTACCGCTGGCCACGATTCCCCCCCCCTCTTGGACGCCTCCCTCTTGGTCTTGGACGCCCCTCGAATAGACGCCGCAGCGCCCCACAGGTTGCGTAGCTGGGGCGTTCATGCACCGAGCTCCTTGGCCGACCTCGCGACGGGGTGTGCGGCGGGCACGCCAACTACGAAGCCGGTGTGCCAGCAGGTGCCCCCCGGAAGCTCTCGGGCGTGCAGGGACCCTCAAAGATCGGCGAAGGTTGTGTTCCACAACCTTTTGTCGTACAGTAGGGGCACATGCCAAGAAACACCCTGCTTGCCTCCAGGGTGCCCAGGGTTTCTTGGGTTTCGATGGTTCTGCGGTGGAAAGCGAGACGCCCCCACGCCCAAAATCAACGGACGTCCTGGGGTCCCAGGGTTGGGTTTCTTGTGGAAGGTTTGTTGTGGATTGGCCTCCACTGTGGGACTCCTTATCGTATGTGCTTGCTGTATGCACCGAGCTCCTTGGCCGACACTCAGCGACGTGGTGTGCACGTCGAGACCCTCCCCCACATCTGCCTCAGCGCGCCTCCCCTCCATGCTGTCCCTGTCTTCCCGCCCTCGCCCCGCTCGCCCCGGGCGTGCCCCCTCCGCCACGTGCCGCTCAGCACTAGCATGTCGCTCAGCACGAGCATGTGGATTGGCCTCCACTCTACTTTCAGCACCTTCCTGCTTCGTGCGCATTGCGCATTAGGCGCCGCCCCTCCGTGTGAGGTGCGGCCGGCAACTTTCATGGAGAGAAGTCGTGACAAGGAAGCCTCGGCTCGGGGCCAGTAGCTTGAGTGCGAGCTTATCATCTAGTGCTGCGCACTTCCCCCGCCAGGGCATCCCATTGGATTGCCAATCCTCTGGCGATGGCCACTCCTCCGGAGGCCCCGCCCCCCTCTCGGGCTGCCACTCTGTTGCTTGCCAGAGGACGTCTTGCTGCTGAGCTGCTGGTGTCTCTCCTCTTTGCTCCTCCGCTTGCTCCTCCTCCTCCTCCTCCCTCCTCCTCCTCCTCCTCCTCCTCCTCCTCCTCCTCCTCCTCCTCCTCCTCCTCCTCCTTCTCCCCTCCTCCTCCTCCTCCTCCTCCCTCCTCCTCCTCCTCCTCCTCCTCCTCCTCCTCCTCCTCCTCCTCCTCCTCCTCCTCCTCCTCCGCTTGCTCCTCCCCTCCCCCCTCCCCGCCGACGTGTGCTTCCGCCGGCCTTCCGCCAGCAGCGCCGCCCTCACCCCTGCTTCTCGCCGGCTCGCCGCCGGCCGCCGGCCGCGCGGCGCCCTCGGCCCCGAGAAGGGAATTTGGGAGGCTGCGGCTTCTCGGCCCCTCGGCAGGGCTCCCTTGCCTCCCTCCCCGTTCCGAATACGGCCAGTTCTCCACCACCACGGCCATGGGCAGGACGGGGGAGAAGTGGGGGTGGGTAGGTCCTCCTCCTCCTCCTCCTCCTCCTCCTTCTCCTCCTCCTCCTCGTCCTCTTCCTCCTCCTCCTCCTCCTCCTCCTCCTCCTCCTCCTCCTCCTCCTCCTCCTCCCTCTCCCACAAATGGTAGTGGTGGTGGACCATCGGCCTATCAGGTTCGATTCGATTCGATTTCGATGGCTTCCGATTCCCCTTCGGATCGACTTCGGGTTCCCACCTGGATTCCGACTTCTTCATGGAGGCCTGCTGGCCTGCCGATCCCCGCCGATTCGACGTCCCTCGACTCGGCCGCGGATTTCCGCCGATCCGATTCATCTCGATCGCCGATCCGACCTACCGACTCGATTCTGGGCTCTCATGCCTCGATGGCGAGGCCCTCTCCTGGAGCGCGCCAGGTGCCAAGACCCCCCCCGGGAAGCCTGGGGGCCCTCTGCCACTTCCCGGACCCCCCCCCCCGAGCTTTCCAGCCTGGAACCTATCCCTACCCCTCTGCTGGGCATCTCCTCCTCACGAGGCCGATCTTGGGGGCTCCCCCCTATTTTTTGAGGCCGCAGCCTTGAGATTGTCCTCGCCCTTTGGCTCGTCCATCTCAGGGATAGGGATACGTAAGTCCGAGGCTGGTGACCGAGCTGCGGCAGAGAAGCACGCCGGGAGGAGGAGGAGGAGGAGGAGTAGGAGGAGGAGGAGGAGGAGGAGGACGAGGAGGAGGAGGACGAGGAGGAGGACGAGGAGGAGGAGGACGGAGGAGGAGGAGGAGGGAGAGAGGGAGGAGGAGGAGGAGGAGGAGGAGGAGGAGGAGGAGGAGGAGGAGGAGGAGGAGGAGGAGGAGGAGGAGGAGGAGGCCCGCGGGGGTCCTCGCCGCGCCCCGTCGGACCGTCAGGGGACATGCTCGGGAGGAGGAGCCGGTCCCGGAGAAGGGGTCCAGGCTTGACGCGGGCGCGTCCCTCCACAGTCGGGGGCGGAAAAGAGGGGGGTGATGACTAGGGGGGGGGGAATACCATGGCGTGGGCCATGAGATCTCCCTAGATTTCGTGGCGCCTCTTATCTTATCACGTCCCTGGCCCCCCCGCTGGGCCGCGGACATGCCGCCGGTCATGATTTGCACCCCCCCCTCTTGGACACCCCCGTCTTGGCCGCTCCCGATACAGGAGGAATGTTCAAACATATTCCAAAGATAGTCGGGGCACGATGTTTCTCTGGTATGTTGGGCTGCTTCTGAGCATCTGTTGGCTATTCTGCATGTTTCTTTCAAAAGCCGTCCGTAGAAGGACATGCTCGACCTAAGTCCAGACCTCTGGGGGTCGGCGCTGCGGGAAAAAAACACGACGTCGGGGGTGTGGGTTCACCGAGCGCGTTCCACTACTCGCAAAGTGCCCACTCGCAAACGTCCGAAAAGCACACGTCTGCTGCGATGCAATTTACCGTAGCTCCCCGGCGGAGGGTCCAGGCCATTCGCGAGTAGTGACTTTGCGAGTCGTGGAACGCGCTCGTCCAGTTCAGGGCGCCAGAGACGGGGACACAGCGCCCAGGGGCATGGGGAACAGGGCTGAACCTAAACGGTGTTCTTCGTTTTCGTTCTGTTGTCGTTTTCCCCTGTTTTGCCTTCAGTCTGCCTTGAACGCAAAACGACATCGAAACGAAAACGGCCCTCGAAATCGCCCAAAACACCGTTTAGGTCCACCCCGGATGGAGAACGTCGACGTCCACGTTCGGCCGTGCCCACGTCCGCGGGGGGCCCCTTTGGGCGCCGCAGCCGGGGGCACGGCACGCGGGGGCGAATGGGAGAAGCCGCAGCCCCCGTTTCGCGAAGCCCCCGTTTGCCGAGCCTCGTGGGGGACGAGCAACGGAGAGGAAGCATGCTGCCGAGTACTTTCCAAATGTCTCAAGCAGGTTTCAAACATGGGTTAGGTATGGAAAACACATGCTTGAAGCATGTTTAGAACCTGTTGTACACATTTTGAACACATTTTTAATTCGACGATCGGATTGTTAGAGTGTCCATTGTCATGGCATCCACAAACTGGCCCCGACCTGTAGGCGACTACAAACCCAGATCCCCGACGCCGTGGTTTGTTCGCGACGCCGACCCCCAGAGGTCTGGTCCCCACCCTGCGGGAACGGTCTTCCATCCCGAGTCGCGGTTTGACGGCCCCAGGGCCCGGTGCGGGCCCCCAGAGGCCGAAAGCAGGGACAGACCGCCCGTCGTGATCCTTGCCGCAGCTCGAGGAGGTCTGGGAAGGGTGAGGTCACGCCAGGGTGTGGCTTGCGATCGGCGCCGTCGCGGCCGGGGGGTGGGGCACCACGCCGCCCTCGCCGGGCCGCCTCGGGGCGCGGCGGCGAGCCCTGCCGAGGTGTAAGTCGGGCGTGTCCCCCGACAGGGGGGCGTTCGACGAAAAATAAGAAAGATACCTTCAAAATACTCCAAACATGGTCCCCCAAAAATTGTCTGGGGACTATTTGTCGAGTCTTTTCTGACCTTTTTGGGGCATTTTTGGAGTATTTGTGGGGTATTTTGGGGGCATTTTTGGGGCATTTTTTTGGTATTTTGGGGGCATTTTGGGGGCATTTTGGGGGCATTTTTGGGGCATTTTTGGGGCATTTTTTTGTTTTTCGGGGGACAGGCCCGACTCAAGCCGAGGCCCGCGCGCCCGCCCCCGGCACCCTTCGGCGTCGCCGGCCCTGGGGCGGCGGGGGGAGCGCCGCCGGCTTCCGTGCGCGGCAGTGCCCCCGTGTTGGGGGGCCCTGGGCGCCCTATGGTTGCGGAGGGCGATCAATGGAGAGGAAGCATCGACATCCCCCCAACATACTTATACTATGTGTTCGTCGCCCCCGCGCACCGAGGAATCTTGTAGTATATGCGTCGTGGCGGGCGCTTTCTGGCCACACCGCTCGAGAAACGATATACTACAAGATGGGTATACTATATGTTCGGGTCGGACGCGCGCCTCCAAGGAGGACGTATAGTATTAGTATGTCCATGTGCGTCCCAGAGAGGAAGCATGCTGCCGAATAATTTCAGGAGGTAAGGAAACACATAGACACAATTCATCGTCGATTTCCGAGAAAATAGGGGAAACTATGGGAAGTGGGGGGAAGACAAAACCCAGAAGATATAGGAAAATATGGGGAACCTTTTTATTTGTGTGTATTTTTCTGTGTGTCCCACGGCCCCTTCATAATTTCCAGATGTCTAAAACATGTTTCAAACATGTTTTGCAGATGTAAAGACATGTTTGACACGTTTTGAGAGCATGTTGTACACATGTCTTAAGCACGCCTATCACTCCATGATAGGACTGTTAGAGTGTCCATTGTCATGGCATCCACAACCCTATGGACGGAGGGGGCATGCAGTAAACGGGGGCATTCTTTCTGGCAGCGCCTGAGCCCCCGTTTGGCTAAGCCCCCGTTGGCGGAGCCCTGGCCCCGTGTGGCGGGCCTTCCCGCCCCGGGCCCGCTCCGTTGCTGCGGCCCTGGGGCCCCGAGTGCTAGGGCCCCTCGGGGGCGGAAGGGCGGCACAACGCCCGCCGTCGCGTCGTGGCTCGCCGCTGGTTCCGGGCGTTGAGGGCCGGCCCCCAGACCAGGTCGTGGTCGGACGGGGCCAGGACGAGGACAGATCTGTTCCACAGCGTGCCGGAAGGCATCCAGAGTTCTGCAGCAAGTCATGCGAACCTTGTGTGCCCTCGTAACTCTGTCTTGAGAGTGCGTTAGCGTCGATTAACGTTGGGTGATCGATGTGATAGCGCCGATTTGGCGCCGAGTAGCGTCGATTAGCGTCGAATTAGCGTTCGTTAGCGTCGACTAGCGTCGATTCGCAAGAGCCAGCAAGATGGCATGCAGGACCCCATGAGTTATCACCGAATCAGAGCGTTCTGGAACGCTCTGAGGAGGCCGCGGCGCCCGAGACATCCTCCTGAGCCGCCGCATCTCAGAGATTCTCGAATGATCCGCACCCGATGTTAACTTCGTCCTGGCATCGTTTTAGGTCTGGCATGGCTCGCGGCACGAATACAGCCGTTGCGAGGATGTGTCAGAAGGACGCGGAAGCTCCGAGGGAGGGCGGAGGCAGGGGTTCCAGCACGTTTGGGGGTTTGGGTCCCAGCGGCCGCAGGCGACTTCTCGGCCTCCCCACTCCCCGAGTTCCCCTCCCACCCAATCAGGCCGTTTAGAGAATGAGAAGAGCTCGGGTACAGCCCCAGGGGCGAGAAGATGATAATCGGCTTCGCGCATGGCGGCCTGGGCTGGAGAGGCCCCCCTTCTCTTCCCCAAGGTGGCCCCGCGAGGGCCCGAAGACGACAGCGCGGCGCGCATCGCAAGGGGCGATGCGCGAAGTCAGGTGACCCAGGCAACTCGGGGACACCCCTGGGTGAGGCTGCTCGGACGCACCCCCCACGTATTGAGGATGGACGCCCCCCATCGTATATCGCCGAGTTGGGCCTCGACTGTTTGCTCGGCCGATAACCCCCACATGGTCGGGGAATGGGGTCGCCATACCTCTGCGATCGACGCTCGATCTGTGCCCCTGCTTCTGCCCCCCCCACCGGGCGCCAGGTGCAGAAGGGCACCGAGAGACAACGAGTGGCCTCGGAGTCTAGACTCTGGTCTGTATCCCCGCTCTGGCCCCGCGTGGGGGTCGGGGCTTGAGCAGGGGGCCGGGTGTCAGCGCTGATCGCCGGCGCCGACGTCGTGTGTTTGCATTTCTCAGGCGCCCCCCCCCCGCGCGATTCGCCCGTGCAGAGGAGTTCTTTGTAGTCGCACGCCCTGCTGTTTTTGCTCATCACCCTGAGCGGCTCGCTCCTTCCGCCCCCTCTTTCGGCCGCCTCCTCTGCTCTTTCCCCTCCCTCCTGCATGGTGGCACACTTCGCTGCAAAGGTGCCCCGTGTAGATGGCCCTCCGCCAGCGCAGTTGCCTTGCCTAACCGCCGACGCAACAAGTTCTTGTTCATCACAAGCTGACATTGCCCCACAGTCCGTCGGGCAGTGCGAGGGATGGGGGGGCCACCGCTGGGAGGGGGGCCACCGCCTCCCCTCGTTGCAACGGCCCCCTCCCGGATATCCCCCCCTCCCCCAGGCAGCCCCCCCAAAAGGCGTCCCCCCAAAAACTCCAAGGCAGAGATGTACCCATCGGTCGTTGAAAATAACTGTTTTGGGATTCCCATCTCCCAATCTACTTTCAGCACCTTCCTACTTCAAGGATCGAGTGGCTTCACCTTTTCAGGCCTCCCAGGGGGGCGGATGGAACCCGATCTATTCTTAACGCCTTCCCCTTTCATGTTTCTACCTACTTCTTCCGACCGACGGGTATCTATACACGCCGGTCGTTGAAACCAGGTCTTTTTGAGTGCCCAGATCCTACGATCTGCTCGAGGCGCCTTCCTACTTCAGGAGTCGAGCGGTTTTCCCTCATCCCTCCTCTTCAGTGGGCGGGCGGAAGCCCAGTCTGTTTTCAGCGCCTTTCTACGCCATGCTTGCACCTAATTCTTCCAACTGACGTGTAACTACCGCCAGGGGGGGGGGGTGATCTTCCCAGACCCCCGACGTCGTGATTTTTTCACAACGTCGACCCCCAGCGGTCTGGACCTTCCCCCGGGACCGGTTTTTCATCCTGACGAGTCGTTTCTTGACGGACTCGAGGCCCGGGAAGGGCCCTCAGAGGCCGAAAATAGCCGAGAAATTGCCGTCGTGATTTTTTCGAAGCGCGAGGGGGTTTGGGTTCGCGGATTTCTTTGGGCGGTGGTGGACATGGAGATTTATTCCGACCCCCAGCCCCCCCCAGCGGTGACCCCCCCTTGGCCTTGCCCGGGTCAGCGCCCCCTGGTTGCTGAGGGGCAACGATGGGGGGGGGACTGGCATTGGGGGGGGAAACATCGACCTGCAATCGGAGATACATCGCTGATAGATCGGCGATAGGGCCCCGATAGCGAATCTGCACCTTCCTGGGCGGGGTGGGGCTATCGGACCCCTATCGGCGATCAATGGGCGATTGGGGGGCGATGCAGCCCCCCCTATGCCTATCCCCCCCTATCGTTGCCGCTGAGTTGCTCCCCGCAGGGACGGCGCTGGCGCGCCGACGACGGGGGCGACCCCGTCTGGCAACGCCCGCGCGGGGTCCAGCAGCGCCCCCAGCATCGGCGAGGAGGCTGCGCCCTCCCCCCCTCCCCTCCCCTCCCCCCCTCCCCTCCCCTCCCCTCCCCTCATCTCCCCTCCCTCCCTCCCTCTCTCCCTCCTCCTCTTCCTCCTGCTGCTCCTCCTCCTCCTCCTCCTCTCCCCTCCCTCCCTCCCTCCCTCCTCCTCCTCCTCCTGCCGCTCCTCCTCCTCCTCCTCCCTCCTGCTGCTCCTGCTGCTCCTCCTCCTGCTGCTCCTCCTCCTGCTCCTCCTCTTCCTCCCGCCGCGATCCTCTGCGTGGGCGGCGGGTGGCCTCTGGAGCTCTCTGGAGGAGGCGCCTCGCCTTGTCTCCCAGCGGTGCCGTACCCGTCGCCATGCCTGTTCCCTATAAGTGACTTCATGTCGGGCGTGTCCCCCCTATACAGGGGGAATTTCGACGAAACATAAAAAACACTCCAAAATACTAACACACAATAGTCCAAACATAGTTTTTTTTGTTTTCTGTTTTTCCTTCTCCTTTTTTTGGTATTCTGCACTATGTAGTCGAACAATCCCCCTGTAGGGGGGCACGCCCGACATAACAGGAACTCCTCCCCGTTGCATCCCGAGAGGTGCCGGCAGTGCGGGCTGGGCGTTTCGCCGGATATGTCCTCACCATTTTAGGATCCTGGAGCTTCGAGTGTGCAGCCTTTTCCCGCGTGGAGGGCGGGCCGTTTTTAACGCGTCGCTTCCGCGCCGCGCGCAGTCGTCTCAGAGCTCACGGCCGCTTCGCGGACGGAGGGCGGGCCGTGTTCAAAACGTGGTTATCCGCCTCAGCGCCGCGCACATTTATATATATATATATATATATATATATATAAACAAAAAAACGCGTGCGAGAGCTTCGCAGATGGAGGGTGGGTCCTTCTCAACATGGTAATTTCGCCTCGGCGCCGCGCAGATGCGGTCTCCATGCGTACAACAGATTCAACTAAGCACACACACACAATAAAACACACACACTGTAGGAACAAAAACACAACAGTTTCAACTATTCCTTTTGCTGACGTTCCAGGAATGGTTTTCCAGCACGATTTCGGGCTGTCAGAACGCAGCCGTCTCGTTGCTTTGCGGTGCTGAAAGGCACAGGAACGGTGTCCTGGAGCGACTCAGGGCCGTCAGGGCGCAGCAGGCAAGCTGATTCGTGGTGCTTTGGCGCGATGGAGGATTCCCGGACCGCTGTCTTCCAACGGCACCTTCCGTAGTGAACATGCTTTTTCTTCTAGGAACCCATGAGCAGGGAACTTGAAGGGAGGGTTTCTAGCAACTTCGTTATGCGCCTGTGGTTTACACTGGTCCTCCTCCTCCGCCCCCCTCCTCCCTCTCCTTCGCCCTCTTGCTCCTGATCCTCTTCGCTCCCCTCCGCTCCTCCTCTTCATCCTCTTCCTCTTCCTCCTCCTCCTGGTGTGATCAGTTGATTTCCTAGATCAGCCTTCAGCCTGCCTCCTCTTCCTCCTCCTCCTCCTCCTTCGCCTCCTTTTGCTCCTCCCTCCTCACGCTGAGCCTGCGGGCTGGTTTTCCCTAAAAGGACCAGAGTTCTCCTTTTCCTCCTCCTCCTCCTCCTCCTCCTCCTCCTCTCCTCCTCCTCCTCCTCCTCCCTCCTCCTCCTCTCCTCTCCTCCTCCTCCTCCTCCTCCTCCTCCTCCTCCTCCTCCTCCTCCTCCTCCTCCTCCTCCTCCTCCTCCTCCTCCTCCTCCTCCTCCTCCCCCTCCTCCATCTCCTCCTCTTCCCCCTCCTCTTCCCCCTCCTCCCTGGTCGTGCACGGCCATCAGGCCGCGGGGCTTGCGCCGCCATCAATCTGGCTTTTGAGACGTCAGGCTGCTCAGCCGGCTGCCAGTACAGCTCCAGGTCGCTGCCTCACCACGGCGCTTATTCTCTCTTGCGTGGGTCGCGAGCCTTTCATTGCCTTTGGGGTTCGGGTACTTCTCGTGTGGTTTGACAAGTGGAATCGGTTCCATCGAGATGCGCGCTCGGATCACTCGCGCGTGGCAACGCATCCGTGGCAGGCTCGGTTCAATTGGCCTCTCTGCGTTGGCGTCGGGTCCGAGATTCGATTGGTGCCGTCGTCGCCGCGCTGCTTGTCGCGGGCTGGGAACCTCTGTCCCCCGTGAAGTGGCGCAGGTCCATTGAGGGCCAGTTCGAGGCTTGGCACTGTCTTGATTGCGACCACATCGAGCGCCTCGACCTCGAGGACGGCTTTGATGTGTCGGAGCTCGCTGCTGATTTCAAGGACGACTTCCGCGCCGCGTTCTGGGCCCAGGCTTGTCACCACCCCTGCGGCGAGGACCTCGCGGGGTGGGGGTGGTGGCGGTGGTGGCGGTGGTGGTGGCGGCGGTGGTGGTGGTGGTGGTGGAGGTGGAGGGCGGCCTCCACCCACTCCGCCCAGAGGTCCGCGGGCGGAAGCAGCATGGCGAGCGCGACCAGATGGGTCTTCTGGCCGCCGTCGCGTCAGGATGGATTCCCGGCAGCACGGAGCGGGATGCGAGGTCTCACCCTGATGTCCTAGATGTGGGCTTGCGCCCGAAGCCCTTCTTCCACCGCATTTGGGACCGCCCCAAGAACTGCAATCATCCGGCTTTCGACTAATCGCCCTCCCTCTGCCACCGGACCCGAGTCGGGCACGAGGCGAATCCAGCTTTTTGGCTGAGGGGTGCCCCTGCCGCGTCCGTACTTGCCCTGCGTTTATGGATGGGGGGGGGGGCGTGCTTTGGGGGGTGGGGCCGTCTCCGTCGAGTCTCGATGTCGCCGCCGCCATCGCGGCCAGGGCTCCTTCGGGGCTCCCGAGGATCTCTGGAGATGGCTCTGGCGGGGCTTTTGGCTCCGACCCCCCGCCGCCGACGCGTCGACGCTGCCGAGGTGCTGCTGGCCTGGGAGATGGGCGTGCGCGGTCTCGCCTCGAGGCCTTGGCCTCCGCCCTGATTGGCCGACGCCAGACGGTGCCGAGGGCCGAAACTCAGGTGGGAAAAAACACACACACAGACACAATTAATCGTCGATTCCCAAGACAATGTGGGGAAATATGGGAAGTGGGGGGGAAGACAAAAACCCAGAACGTATGGGAAAGCATGGGGAATCTTTTCACTTGTGTGTATTTGTTTGTGTGTCCCAGGGCCCCTTCAGAAACGCTTGCAGTCGAGCTTGCTCTTCACAACCTCCCAGGTCACTTTATTTTTGGTGCCGACATTGGGCCCCTGCTAGAGGGCTGGCGCCGCCGTCGTTCTATTCCCTGCGACGGTGCCAACGCCGATGTGTGATTTCGAACTCGCCTGGTCGCGGAGGGCCGCGAGGGCGGGGTCGTTTGGGCGCGGGCCCTTTCCCGCTCTGGTCCCTCGGGCCCCCTCCTTTCGGAGCGTGAGGCTCTCCTCGCGGCGGGCAACGACGCAGCAGATGAGCTCGCGTCCAAGGCTGCCTAGGGGTCTGGGGACAGCGCCACCGGGGGTCAACGCGTGCCTAGCACTGACCTCTGGGATGCCACCCGTTTCTTGATCCGCCAGCGGGCCGCCCAGGCGACGGCGGGATCCATCCGTTTGGCCCCTTGGCACCGCGGAGAGGCCCGAATCGGGCGGCCCGAAAACTACATGCCAAGCTTCAGGGTGCTCTCTCTCTCTCTCTCTCTCTCTTTTTTTTGTTGTTTTTTTTTTTTCTCTCTCTCTCTCTCTCTGTCTCACACACTCTCTTTCTTGTGTATATGTATATGTATATATATAGCTCCCTCTCTCTCTCTCTCCTCTCTTCCGCTCTCTCTCTCTCTCTCTCGCAGCTCGCAGTGATGAATTAAAACTGGCCGAAAGTGGACTTGCCGCTTTGTTTGGGAATTTTCCCTCGGCTAGCGCGTGCTGGAGGCGCGTGACCAGCCCTGCCCAGCCGTTGATGCTGGCTCGGCTCAGGATGCTCTCGAGGATGGGATCGCACGGGTGACTGGGGTGGTGACGGTGGGGGTTCTTGCGCTTCATCGGAGTTTCTGTTTGCACTTTTGGCTTGCGCAGTCGCTCTGCTTATGTTCTGCGTGTGGCCGTACGGCCACCGAGGTTCCCAGGCAGTCGATTCAGGAGTGCACCGAACGCTCCAAGGAGGGGCTGGATAATCTCCCGAGAATTAGACGGGGTTGTCGCCAGGCTACAAGAGTCCAGCGTCCCCCGTTTTGGAGGCCGCCATCTGCAATATTCGGCGCGACCAGGCGCGTCGGATGGTTCCAGGTGCCCTCTAGGTTCCTAGGCCACGTGGACTTTGGCGCCCAGGACACTCCTCCTCCTCCTCCTCTTTCTCCTCCTCCTCTCCTCTCTCCTCCTCCTCCTTCCTCCTCCTCCTCCTCCTCCTCCTCCTCCTCCTCCTCCTCCTCCTCCTCCTCCTCCTCCTCCTCCTCCTCCTCCTCCTCCTCCTCCTCCTCCTCCTCCTCCTCCTCCTCCTCCTCCTCCTCCTCCTCCTCCTCCTCCTCCTCCTCCTCCTCCTCCTCCTCGCTTCTCTTTCGGGAGCGTCCCGGCGCCCCGCGTGGCGGCGGGACCCGGCGAGGAGGAGAGCGTCGGAGACCTCCGCCTCGCGCTCGCCCGCCTCGAGAGCCAGGCCGCGGAGCTCGAGGCGGAGGCGAGGTGGCTCGAGAGGCAGGGCGCCAAGGGCGCGGTCCCAGGCGGGGGCGTAGGCCCCTTCGCCTTCCAGGCCCTCGGGGCAGTACGTCGGGCAGGTCTCTTTACAGGAGGACCATGCGAAATCAGCCAGAAATGAGCCTGGCGAAGGACCCAACCATATGATGCAGTTGCGAGCGCCGTCGTGGTATGCACCGCATTCGGGGGAGCTCCCCATAGGGCCACGAAATGTGTGAGGGGTGTGCCAAAATTTGTCTGGTGGGCGCATGCGAAAGCAGCCACTGGGGCTGGCTGTCGGTGGACTTCCCAATGGGGCCACGAAACGCGTGAGAGGTGTGCCGAAATAGGTGCGGTGGGCGCACGCGAACGCAGCCCGTCGGGCCGTCGGTGGAGCTCGCTATGGTGCCGCGAATCGTGCGAACGCAGCCACTGGCGCCTTCGGTGGAGCTCCCTGTGGGGCCACGAAACGTGTGAGGGGTGTGCCGGAATGGGCGTGCGTGACGCATGCGGGCGGTGGCACTGAGGCCTTCGATGGAGCTCCCTATGGGGCCACGAAACTTGTGAGGGGTATGCTGAATTGGGTGTGCGTGACGCATGCTGGCGGTGGCACTGGGGCATTCGGTGGAGCTCCCTATGGAGCCACGAGACGTGTGAGGGGTGTGCCGAATTTGGTGTGTGTGTGTGTGTGTGTGCCGAATTGGGTGTGCTTGACCCATGCGGGCGGTGGCGCTGGGGCCTTCGGTGGAGCTCCCTGTGAGGCCACGAAACGTGTGAGGGATGTGCCGAATTGGGTGTGCGTGACGCATGCGGGCGGTGGCACTGGGGCCTTCGGTGGAGCTCCCTGTGGGGCTACGAGACGTGTGAGGTGTGTGTGCCGAAATTGGTGTGCGTGACTTATGTGGGCGGTGGCACTGTGGCCTTCGGTGGAGCTCCCTATGGGGCAACGAAACGTGTGCGGGGTGTGCCGGGATGAGTGTGCGTGACGCATGCGGGCGGTGGTGCTGGGGCCTTCGGTGGAGCTCCCTATGGAGCCACGAAACGTGTGAGGGGTGTGCCGAATTTGGTGTGTGTGTGTGTGCCGACTTGGGTGTGCTTGATCCATGCGGGCGGTGGCGCTGGGGCCTTCGGTGGAGTTCCTTGTGAGGCCACGAAACGTATGCGGGATGTGCCGATATGGGCGTGCGCGGCGCATGCGGGCGGTGGCACTGGGGCCTTCGGTGGAGCTCCCTGTGGGGCCACGAGACGTGTGAGGGGTGTGCCGACATGGGCGTGCGTGACGCATGCGGGCGGTGACCCTGGGGCCTTCGGTAGAGCTCCCTATGGGGCCACGAAACGTGTGAGGGATGTGCCGAAATGGGTGTGCGTGACGCATGCGGGCGGTGGCACTGGGGCCTTCGGTAGAGCTCCCTATGGGGCCACGAAGCGTGTGAGGGATGTGCCGAATTGTGTGTGTGTGTGACGTATGCGGGCGGTGGCGCTAGGGCCTTCGGTGGAGCTCCTTATGGGGCCACGAAACGTGTGAGGGGTGTGCTGACATGGGTGTGCGTGAAGCATGCGGGCGGTGGCACTGGGGCCTTCGGTGGAGCTCCCTGTGGAGCCACGAAACGTGTGAGGGGTGTGCCGACAAGGGTGTGCGTGATGCAAGCGGGCGGTGGCACTGGGGCCTTCGGATGAGCTCCCTATAGGGCCACGAAATGTGTGATAGGTGTGCCGACATGGGTGTGCGTGATGCATGCGGGCTGTGGCACTGGGGCCTTCGGTGGAGCTCCCTATGGGGCCACGAAGCGTGTGATGGGTGTGCCGATATGGGTGTGCGTGACGCATGCGGGCGGTGCAGGGAGGAGGGGAGGAGGCATGAAGGAAGGAGGGAGGGAACGCGGGGACCGTCTCTTCAAAGCGAGGACCCAACATCACAGGATGGTTGGGAAATAGTCTGGGGATGATGTTTTAATATTTTTGATTATTTTGAAGCATTTTGGGACTATCTTTTGGTTTTCCCAAAGACCTCCTGTAGGGGGACATGCCCGACCGAAGGCAAAAACCGGCATTCATGGGGCGCAGAGGGGCGGCTGGTGCTCAGAGGACGGAAGGGTGCCGATGCCGCTGCCGTTTTTGATCCGTTTTCGCCCTTTCGGGCCTCCTGGGAGGACCTCATCGCCACGGCTGGATTCGCCTCGAAATTCTGGTCGGAACGCATTCCGGCAACGTTCTGGGGAGTAGCGGTATCGGTACCTTTTGGCTTCCCCAAGTGGTATGTGCCCCCTTGGAGGCGCTCGTCTGACTTGGACATGTTACACGTATCTTGTAGGATACGGTCGGCCCGGACAAGTAGGTCGACCCTGCCAGCTCAAGGGTACCCTTGTGTCCTGTGCCTCGCGGCACCTGCCTTCTTACACTCCTATGGCGATGTTAGGGGGCCACATGCGAACCCTACCCCTACCCCCCACTATTTCTGAGGGGGAGGATGGGGTTCACTTCGCTCGTGAGCTCCCGCACGAAGTGAACTCCACCCTCCCCCTCAGAAATCGTGGGGGGTAGGGATAGGGTTCGCATGTGGCCCCCTAGATGTGGCCCTCGGAAGGGTCTCGTGTCCTCTCGCGCGTCCTGTCCAATCAGGGCCGAGTGTATCCTTACCTCTGTGGTATGGCCGGACAGCGCCCGCCACCGAGTATGTACGATCAGGTTTCTGAGCTTCGCCCCCCCGGGGGGCCGACGCAAGCAGAAGCGAGCATATACGATCAGGTTTCTGAGCTTCGCCCCCCGGGGGGCCGACGCAAGCAGGGTAGGATATGGGAAAGGGGGGGGGGGTAGGATATGGGAAGGGGGGGGGGGGTAGGGGTAGGATATGGGAAGGACGAGAGAGAAGGATATGGGAAAGGGGGTAGGATATGGGTAGATGTGGGAGGGTAGGATATGGGAAAGGGGGGGGGGGTACGAAAGCTGCTGCATGCAGTTGGTCTCCGCCACGCCGCTGGGCCCGTGTCTTGACACGTGGGCGCCGCCCGGCGCCGGGAGTTGTCAGGAAAAGCCGCTGCGTGGACTGGTTATCTACCCTGCTCTCTGCTGTCCTATGCTTGATTGCAGAACCAAAGTTTCAAACTGTCCTTTTGGCTTGATTGCTCTCTGCTATCCTAATGCTTGATTGCCTAATTATCCTTTGCTATCCTGTCGTTTGCTTTCTAGTTCCTGTACGAGCTCAAGCATCAGTAGTGTTACCATGCGTTGGGCATGCGCGCGCAGAAGGGACGTGCGCGTGTGGCCCGCATGGTGCTCTTGGACAGAGTTGGCGGGTGCGCGGTTTCTGGTACACGGTTTCGGCATGCGCGCGCGCGTGCGGCCCGCAGGGCCCCACCTGGCAGCATGGCAACCATACCCATCGGTCGCTGAAAGTAGGTATTTCTGGAGTCCCATCTTCCAGCCTACTTTAAGCGCCTTCCTACCCCAATGATCGAGCGGCTTCAACTTTCCTCACGGGGCGGACGGAACCCAATCCATTTTCCACGCCTTCCTGCTTCCTGCTTCTGCCTGCTTCTCCCGAGACCGATGGGTATACGCTGTTTCCCTTGCACCGTGCCAGCGCGTGCGCGCGCACACCGCTTTATGGTTCCCATCCGGAGGCAGAGGTTGTCGAACGCTCGTTGGGGGCCCGCAGCGTTGGACGCACTTTGGCACGTGCGCGCGCGTGGGGCCCGCAGGGCACGACTGCACGCGTGCTCCTGCACAGCGTGCGGACCACACCAACATATGTGCCCCGCACGGAAGAAATCGTCGGGGGCGACGGGAGGGAGGAGGGTCGATGTTAGCTGGTTGCGCATCGTGTTACATTCTATGTGGAGGACGGGCTGTCGTGCATCATGGATGTGCGCCGAATCCAAAGAGCGAACAGCCGAACGGATGAGTCTGGCCTCGGCATGGGGGTCTAGTGTTATATCGCAGAGGCCTCGGGAAAATCCCCGCCGCCGCCGCCGCCCCCCTGCATCGCCATTGAGGCCGAACGTTGTGGTCAGAGTTCGGCCAAGCTATCCCACCATGCGTTAACCCAGCCTTTGTGGAAACCCTTCGGGGAACACGCGGGGGAGGACGAAGAAACGGAGGAGAGCGAGGACAAATTGAGAGGATGAGGATGAGGAGGATGAGGATGAGGATGAGGAGGAGGAGTATGAGGATGAGGAGAACGAGGAGGAGGAGGAGGAGGAGGAGGAGGAGGAGGAGGAGGAGGAGGAGGAGGAGGAAGAGGAGGCGGAGGAGGCTGAGGAGGAGGAGGAGGAGGAGGAGGAGGAGGAGGACTCTTCCGTAGCCACTTTGGCTCAAGCCGTTGCTTGGGGCCTTCGCCTTCCCTGGGGTTGGGGCTCGAGCTGGTCAGAGACCCGCACGACCCTCGATCAGTGGCCCTGCCCAGGGTGAGGGTCCTACTGTTCAGTCTACCGGCCCCACGCCTCGTGGCTCAAGATTCCTGTTCGTGTTCTCTCATGGCTTGGGGAGAGCATGCGGCAGGTGGGCACCAGAAGAGTGTGTCTTGGGCCGACGAGCGTGGCAGCAACAAGCGTGGAGGCTCGAGGGGCCCCATCGGAGGTGGCAGTGTCAGACGTGCGGCTGCAGGAAAAACGGTTGGAGCTCCTGGCACTGTGTTGACTGTCACGCTGCCTGGAACGAGCCCGTCGCTGAGGAGGAGGGCGAGCTCGCGACGGACGGCACGCCCCGCTCGGTCGGCTTGCAGCTCCCGCCTGGCTTGGGCAACGGGGACGCACAGCTCTCTGTGGACGAGATCCAGCAGCTCATCAGCCTTGGCTCCAAGACGGGCGACCACGCTCTGGTCACCAAGTACCAGAAGTTGCTGGAGTACAAGCAGAAGGAGGCGGTCCTGCCGAAGGAGCCGCCGCTGCAGGTGCGTGCACACAGAGCGCACGCACAGGTCGTGCACCTCGAGAAGGTGCTCGAGGCAGCGATCGACAAGTTGGGGAGGCTACGCCAAGCGGGTGCAGACCAGGAGACCGAGGTCCAGCTGCTGCAGACGAAGCTCGGCGAAGCGGATGATGAGTACAAGTGCCTGCTCAAAGCCATGTACAGTCAGGC